TTAACGACTGAGCCACCCAGGCGCCCCAAAGACAAAGATGTTTTAATGAATGCTTTGATTTCTATATCTGATATTTTAAAAATTTTTAGAAAGTAATTGTTATCCATATAAATGTTTGTTTTCAAAGAAAAATCTTATTTACATATAATAGGATTTGCAGATGAACTCTAGATTTTAAATACAGTAGACTCCATGTCCTTTCTTGGAGGTTTTCGAGGACTGATTTTTGGTAATATCTCTTTGGCATAAAATGTTTTATGAAGTCCAGCTTCTCGAAGCGCTAACTCAAAACGAAGTCTAGGGTCAGAAATTATCTGTAGAAATAAAATACATTTAAATAAGTAGCAATTCATTGAACTAAATTACATTTTATCATTTAGTTCCATATTTCTTCAAGCTGTTTAACTTGTTTATTCTGGGTAGATGACTATAAACTTGGTATATATAGTGACTATATTGTGTTGAGGTTTTTGTTTTTTGTTTTTTTGGGTTTTTTTTTACTGGAAATGTCCAGGGGCACCTGGGTGGCTCAGTTGGTTAAGCAGCTAACTCTTGATTTTGGCTCAGGTCATGATCTCAGGGTCTTGGGATGGAGCCCCAAGTCGGGCTGCATGCTCAGCCAGGGAGTCTGCTTGTGGATTCTCTCTCTCCCTCTGCCTCTGCCCCTCCCCCTGCTTGGGCTCATTCATGCTCTCTCTCTCTCTCTCAAATAAATAATAAATCTTTAAAAAAAAGAAAATGTCTATTTTTTTTTAAGATTTTATTTATTTATTTGACAGAGAGAGACACATCAAGAGAGGGAACACAAGCAGGGGGAGTGGGAGAGGGAGAAGCAGGCTTCCTGCTGAGCAGGGAGCCCGACGCGGGGCTCTATCCCAGGACCCTCGGATCATGACCTGAGCCAAAGGCAGACACTTAACGACTGAGCCACCCAGGTGTCCTGAAAATGTCCAAATATTCTTGACATTATCATTTTCCAGTATATCTGTGGTTTCCAACACAAGGTGTAGGGAATATCTTACTAGTCAAAATATAACACATTGAAATTATTAAAAGATGGAGGAAAACTTACTTTCAGTACTTTCATTGATTCATTATTGATAGCTAGAATTAGAAAGTATAGACAATCATTGTTTAAAATAAACCTAAACCACAACCTTGTGCATTGGTCTTTAAATGAATATTCAATTTCTCCGTCATTCAGCAATATGTAAATTGTGTTTAAACACATGGCCCCTACTTTAAAAAACAACAACAAAAAAATCACTTGAACTCTCCTTCCAAGGCTGGATTTCTATTTCAAGCAGAATTAGAAAATGTTTCCACCAATGTGATTCTAAGTGGGAATTGAAATATGAGTAGCTCAATTTCTATTTTCATTTATAGCTGATTGGGCCTTTTTCCTCTTCCCCTCCTTCTATGAATATTAAATGTCAACAGACGCTGTTTGCTATGATAAGGTAGCCACATACAGATTTTAGTTAATGAGGCATTTTACATGGACTTGAAGTCCCCCTAGAGGATGGGATAATAAGCTGTTGAAAGCAGCCCCTCCTTCAAGAAGCTCTTAAGCTAATAGGGGTAATAAGAATGTATACAGATAACTACAGCTCATGGCACATGTGAATGATGTTCCAAGAACAGTAGAACACAGAGGTACATCTCCCAGTGCAGATGAGACTAGGATGACCTCAGGTAAGCAGCAGCACTTGAGCTAACTGTAAGGTTCACCCTATTTTTCTACGAAGCAGAGCAGGGAGGAAAAGAGATAGAGCAGGAAAGGAAGGCACATGCAAATTCAGAGGTGAAATAGGTCAATTTGGGACCAGGGCAGTTTCGGTAGAACACTGGAGTAGCAGTCTACTACAGTGGTCTACACATGAAGTAATAAATGCCTAAACTTGGCTGGTAGCAAGGAATAGAGAACTGTCAAACATTATGAAAGGAAGAATCAAGAGACTCTGGCAACTGATGAGGTACAGAAATGAGAGGCAATGATGTATACAAGTTGAAAATACAGAGATTTGTGTCTGAGAAGCAACGTAGTTGAGGCTTAGATCTAGTTTCTCCTCTTCTGGATATAGTCTCTGTGGTCCCCCTCATCCACTTCCAAGGATTCATGCTCCACCTGTGTGCTCCTTAATTATCTCCTGGAATCACCTGTCTTCTCAATTTGTGGTTTGTGAGGTTTAAAATGTCTCATTACCCTGAAAGGGGAACCCTCCTACACTGTTGGTGGGAATGCGAGCTGGTGCAGCCACTCTGGAAAACAGTATGGAGGCTCCTCAAAAAGTTGAAAATAGAGCTACTCTACGAGCCAGCAATTGCACTACTGGGTATTTACCCTAAAGATACAAATGTAGTGATCCAAAGGGGTATGTGCACGCCAATGTTTATAGCAGCAATGTCCTCAACAGCCAAACTGTGGAAAGAGCCTAGATGTCCATCAACAGATGAATGGATACAGAAGATGTGGTATATATACGTATATACAATGGAATATTATGCAGCCATCAGAAAAAATGAAATCTTGCCATTTGCAATGATGTGAATGGAACTAGAGGGTATTATGCTAAGTGAAATAAGTCAATCAGAGAAAGACAAGTATCATATGATCTCATGGATATGAGGAATTTGAGAAACAAGATAGGATCATAGGGGAAGGGAGGGGAAAAATGAAACAAGACGAAACCAGACAGAGAGACAAACCATAGAGACTCTTAATCTCAGGAAATAAACTGAGGGTTGCCGGAGTGGAGGGGGGTGGGAGGGATGGGGTGGCTGGGTGATGGACATTGGGGAGGGTATGTGCTAAGGTGAGTGCAACCCCTGAAACAAATAATACACTGTATGTTAATAAAAAAATTTTTTAATGTCTCATTATCCTATTTTTAAAATAGATATCAAGTGAAATGGAGATCTCCCTCGAAAGCTGACCTCCATTTCCCCAATTCACCTTCCCAGAAGCAGCCAATCAGTTTCTTGTAAATGTGTTCTAGACATCTTCGCCCTAAACATGAAAAGAACAAAACAAGTTCTCTCCCTCCCTAAGTCTGTTTTTACTTCTGTATTCTTATATGGTTAATGGCAGCCACAGCTAATGATTATAATTTACTGAATTACTTCTAGGTGCCAGGCAATATCCTAGGCAATTGACATTTATTATCCTAATCCTCATAAGAACCTTACAAATTATTTTACAGATGAAATAAACAAGACATAAAGATGTTAATAGCTTACACAAGTTCACATAGCCAGTATATAGCGGATGTGGATTTGAATCCAAAACGCAGGCTCTCCTCAGTGTCACTTGCTGCCTAGCTTAAAGTCATTACTCCCTCCTCTCAGAGCCATTCATGCCCCTCCCTCCCATGTTTATGAGGGCTCTGCCATCTGACAAGGATCTGACCCCCCCCCAACCCCACCAATTTTCCATCCAGGACACATTGCTAAAACATATCTGATTATATAATTCACCTGCTTCTGAGTCTCACCTGTGCTCACAGGATAAGGTCTTAGCAAGCAAGTGCTACTATACTTTTCAGTCTGACCCTAACCTATGTTTCCAATCTCATGTCCCAGCACCCACCCTTGCCACGGACTTTACACTTTCCACCCTCTTCGGCTTGGTGAAACCCTTTATTGCCTCAGCCCAGGTACCCGAGAGTTTTCCAGTTTCTGACCAATTCTTTTCCAACCCCAGCTGCTCTCCCTGCTTTGGCTTCTGGGGACACACTTACATCCTTATAATGAATCCCTCTCCTTTCACCCCACCCCTCCTCCCAACCTATTTTTTTGTATTTGGTTTAAATCACCTGGAATAAATTTTGTTACTGCTGCTAAGAATCCTCGACTAAGATGTAGCTGTTTCCTCTTTGACACTTTGACTTCCCTAGTCAGTGTTTCCATGGGTTCCCTTCTCCTTACCACTGCAGCCCTTAGACTTCCACTATGGAGGTGTAGTCTCACCCCAGAGCATTATTGCCATACAGGCTACTTTCCCTCCCAACCCAGCTGCCCTGCTCACTTCCTCCAAGAGAACAAGTCCATCCTGTTTAGGATGTAGCCCTGGCAACCCCACAGTGCCAAATACAGTGTATGTTCCATAAATATTTGTCCAATTAATAAGTGAACCGTTCACAAAGAGGCACACTTGATTTATTTGTCAGTGGGTGAATGGAGTTTCTTACTTTTTAAATAATTAAATATTGAGCTTCTCTCAGATTTGTAAAATTAACAAACTAGGGGGAACTACTTTCTCCCTTAATTTCAGTGACATCCATTCGTTCATCTGTCCTCCCTCCTGCCTTCCATCTATCCATCCATCCATCCAACCATCCAAAAAGACTTTTTAAAATCCTTCTCAATCTTTAAAAAAATAAAAAATAAATAAAATAAATAAAATCCCTTCTCAGTAACAGACTAAAAGGAGTCAGAAATTCCTGGAAATGGTTAAATAACACCTTAATACTTTTCCACAGAAAATGTTTTCTTTTATCATTAGCTCAGATGTATTATCTTCAATTCATTTTAATTTCTGAAAGCTTCCCTCTGCTGTGTCTTATCAGTATCATCAATTGTTGCTTTAATAGGACTTACATTATGAATTTAAACAAATTCCAAATTGATAGAGAAACATTTAAACAAAATACAATATTAACACAACTTTAAAGTAAAATTTATAAGTTAAAAATAATTTTTAACATAAAAATGTAAATTTAAAAAATAATTTTCAGTGATAGATTCATAATATGTTCAGATAAACTGTTCCAGGATTACCTATCAACTATTTTATAACATTAAGAATTGGGCAGTAATTGTGTGCTATCATTTAGCAGTAAAAATTATGCTAATCCATGTGGCATTCAAATGTAAATACGGAAAATAATCTGAAACCCAAAACACACACTTCCATAAATCTTATCATCATGGCTTTTGCATCAATCATGCTAATTCCCATAATTACCTGGTATTCATTGTATGTATTCAATGTAAAGAGTGGTTTTTGAAGAATAAATTCTTCTTCAATTCCAATACCCATCCTTGCTTTTGATGCCGTTGTATCTGACATCATTCTAACAGGATCAAACTGAGCAACAATAGCAACCTAAAAGAAGAAAAAGCATGGCTACTTGGATTAAGATACAAGCTAACTATTTCTGGGGAACACTTTTTTTTTTTTTAAAGATTTTATTTATTTGACAGAGAGAGACACAGCGAGAGAGGGAACACAAGCAGGGGGAGTGGGAGAGGGAGAAGCAGGCTTCCCGCCGAGCAGGGAGCCCGATGTGGGGCTTGATCCCAGGACCCTGAGATCATGACCTGAGCCGAAGGCAGACGCTTAACGGCTGAGCCACCCAGGCACCCCTTGGGAACACTATTAATGTTTAATGTCTAGTAAAATTTCCTAACTTCAATGAAGATAAAACCAAAGAAGGAAGGGCAGACAGAATATTAAGCCAGGCCAGTCCTAGAGATCCACAAAGGAGTTAATGGTTTTAAAACAAAACATGTTAAAAGGCCATGATATATATTGTTTGCTACTGATTGAATAACTACAGTTAGGATTAAATTTAGATAAAAATTTATCTTTCTGGTACTAAGTCATAGGAAATCTGATCTAGAAAACCTACATATTGAACTACCTTAAAAGTTACCAAAAGTAAAAAACATCAACTTTTATCCACTAGCAACATATGGCCATGGTAACAACCCCACGAAGATTTCTAGGAAGTTTAATCTGTTCAAGCTCAATCTAGAGAATATTACTCACGGGTAAAGTTGAGTTCTGTTGGCATTTTGGTCAAGATGGGTGAATCCCATTGTGTTAAGCAACTAGATTTCCAGGAATTGTTGTAAACCATTGTTTCCCCTTCTACTGAAAAACTGTAGAGTCATTTTAACCTAAATGCCCTTGTCCTTTATGATAATTGAAATCATTCAAACCTGTATCCTAATGAAAAGAAACCACTAATTTTGTAAATTATATGCACCATTAGTAACACCTGCCTGTTAATTCCTAAAGTCAAGAATTAGCATTAAGAAAATGGCATTTTGGGGGGCGCCTAGGTGGCTCAGTTGTTAAGCGTCTGCCTTCGGCTTAGGTTGTGATCTCAGGGTCCTGAGCCCTGTATTGGGCTCCCTGCTAA